CCAACTTCCACCGGTACCTCTTTCACTGAGGGGACTTCAACTGGCTAAGCTCTAGCATGGAGCTGTGAAAGAGATTTCACATTTGGCTTCTCTCACCTCAGCACTGAGAGAAGGAGAGAGAGTTGAGTCTCCATGGGCAGGCATGTGTGAAAAGAGGCCAGAGGTTAAGTTCCAAGGGGCTGGCAAATTTGCAGGCTAATGGCTGCTTCTCTTGCTGAGGGGATTACCTGGCCAGCTGAAGTATTTCTGAGGTGGGGAGGGAAGGGGCGCTCTGAGCGGGTGACAGGAATACTGCAGGAGGGAAGCGACTTTCGCTGAAGCACCTCGGGTTGTGGCTGAGTCTGTGTGTTCATACAGGGCGTAGTTGCTTTCACTGCCTCCCTGTTAATACAAGCCAGTCGATTCCCAAGGGCTTCGCACAGGGCAGAACCAATTCTGGGAGGGGTCTCGCACCTTCCTGAAAGACGCCAAAGTCAATAGGAATTGAAGCTCTGCACCTTTCAGGAGGTACTCAGCACTTTTTAGGATCAGACCAGAGATGACCCGTAACTGCCGATAGTGGGGGGGAGGGGGGAGGGGCAGATTGAGGGTAGCGGCTTCAGCAGATGTTACTGAGCATTCTCAGTCCATGTGAGCATGCTCAGTACAAGCTCGGGGGGGGGGGCACATGACCCTGCGTGCCCTCCCCCCTGCCCATCCCATCTGGATGAGACACTGGGGAAGCAGCCACCACCAGTCCCTATGGCTCATTCCCTCTCCCCAACTACAGTAGAAAACAATAATTAGCACAATTAGAACAGTAATTCATAATTTTAATAGCAAAAAATGAAATCAACCCCTAACCTCCTCTAGGTCAAGTGCCTGCTACAGGTGGGGCCCGCAGATGGGACGGGGCTGCATGGTCACAGGTGTAGAACATGAGTGATCTTGGGCTTCTAGGAGATCTGCAGATTTTAAAACTAAACCTAATTCATCCCTGGTTTACCTCTGTCACAGTCATGTGTAACAAATCCCCATGCTGGAGGCAGAGGACAGTTATTATTAGAGCTCAAATGTGGGGGGAAATAGTAGCATTTCCTGCCCCCCAATATACCAAGCTGCTCTGATTATTATGCTCCCTATTTCTAATAGGGCACTTTTATCAGTAGACTTCTAAGCTCGTCACTGTCTTTCTAATGTATTTATCCTCACAACATCCCTGTGAGGTGGGGAAGTATTATCCCTAGTATTATTGTTTTTTACAGATGGGGAAACAGAGGCAGGTAGAGGTTAAGTGACTTGCCCAAGGTCACCCAAGAAGGCTGCAACAGAGGAGAGAATTGAACCTGAGTCTCCCAAGCTCAAGGCCCTGACCACTGGGCCACTACTTCAAGCCCACCTTAGTGAGGGGCCAGAACTAGAACCTTAATCTTTCAGCTCCCAAAATACTAGCCCCGATCGACTGAGCTAAAGCAGAACTCCCTCAGCTGGTGATGAATCTAAAAGATGGATTACACAGGTTTACCACCTCCGCATAACTATGCACCATTCCATTCATGAGAAAATACTGTATCTCAATACCAACTTCGCAGATGAAATCTCCATATGTACTCGTAGTATATGGAGACACAAAACAGATTAGAACTGAAAAAAAAAAGAGAGATTTTATTCCAGTACCAGTTCACATAAAAAACTAATCAGCCTCCGTCTTGGGAAAACTTCGTTGCACTGCCAACCCTCCCAGAGCCTTGTGGCTTCCAACGGTACATAGCTATTCTCACACTAGCCACCTGGTGGCAATTAGCATAACAAAAATGCCGACAACATGACAGTATGTCTCATAGTTGGCACAATGTATAGTATGCTTTTCTAGTCTTAGTATATCTATAATGGGCCCGATCCTCAGCTGGTGTCATTTGGCATAACTCTGCCAACCTCTGCCAAATTATACCAGTTGAGTATCTGACACAAATATTTTTAAAGCAATTTTTAAAGGGCTAAATTCAACTACATGAGCGGGCTGGAACTAATTCTACTTCAAGATGAGATTCCACTCACTGAGCTCCCCCAGAGGATGTCAAGTGACAAGACACTCAATCAGTGAAATATGAAAGAGCATTATAACACCCACAGAGCAACAGCTCCTTGGCTGAAAGCATCTAAAAGTCAGTGCAATGTTATCTAGCAGCTTTGGAAACGGTTAACCCTTTCATGTCTCATTCATGTTCCTGCTACAGTCTGCTGCCTCTAGTGCCCTATCCTTGTCATGCTGCCAGTTCTGTGTGTTGCCTCCCACTTCCTTTGGTGCTTGTTTCAGGACCAAGGAGCCTTTGCTCTTGGAACCATGCATAGGTGGGGGAGGTGGGAATTGATTTTTCTTTCTTCAGAGGATCAAAGAGAAATAAAGAAGATGCCAAATGATAAATATTGGACTTTCAAACATGCGAAAGAGAAGGAGGAGCAGCAGCAGGGGGAACAAATCTCTTGGGATATCCTTCCGTCTGAATATACAATGTCTATTGCAAAGACAGGGGTTGGGGATCCAGTGTATAGAGATGTGGGTTTTACAAACAGAATCAACATGAAGACCTCTGGGAAATCACAGAATGTGTGTTTGCTTTACGGTTTGGATAATATAAAATGTAATTTTTTTTCCCTTAAAGAAATTGATCCTTCTTCATTTTTTTAGCTCTGGTTTCATTTTCCATATTCCCGTCCTTCAGGTCCCCGGTTTGAATTACTCCTGTTTATGTGAAAGAGGCTGATAACACTCATCTCGTCTCTGTCTCTCAATAATTATAGGCCTCCCAGGAAAGTTGGCTTTACCGTGGAAATTTGATAAAGATTTTAAAAGATTTTATTAGAAAGGATTTGGCTCCTGCACAATTATCGACTGTAAAAGGTGCTTTGCCCACCTCCTCTAGGGAAAGTGCTATTGATCATCATACAAAAGGAAGACGTACGCACACAGAGAAAAAAATGTTAAGGCTTCATTGCCTTTTAAACTTTGATGATCAAATTGCATCTAAAGTGTCCCTTGATCGCCTTAACTCCGCTGGTCTGCACTAATTAGGATGGAGCAAACTGTACCACTGGCGAGAGAAACATGGCTCGTAATTCCACCTGTGCTGGGCAGAGACTGGAACAAGGGAAAGATCCGATAGCTGATTTATAGAGTGAGCTTTGATTAAGAGGAACAACCTGACCCTTTTGTTTGCTGATTGCACCAGATACCTTATAAAGCTCTGTTGTAGTCAACAAATCAGGCACGGGCCTTTAAAAATAGCAGCCCTTTTAAAGTTGAGTTATAGTTTCTAAAGCCCTACTTTAAAATATTCCATGGGATCATCATCATTTTGCTGGTCCTAGAGAGCTTACTCTTGGCTATCTGAGTCCGTCTCCTTAAGTGTGCTTTGGTCCCAACCGAGATTGGGGCCCTATTGTGCTGGGCACTGATCATATACTCCAGTACACAGCCCCCCTCTAAACTCTAGGGTACACATGTGGGGACCCACATGAAAGACCCCCTAAGCTTATTTTTACCAGCTTAGGTTAAAAACTTTCCCAAGGCACAAATTCCACCTTGTCCTTGAAAAGTATTCTGCCACCACCATGTGAGTTAAAG